TGCATTTGTAGTTGTTTACTGTGTACATTATATTATGTTTGTTGTTTATCGAATAATTGCTGTAACGTATTATTTATTTGTTAATTATTTTTCTTTTGTCTCATAATGAATAACGAAGTAATATTGATGAGACTTTTTACTATACATGTATTATTATGTAGATTCATATTATATAATAACTTAGGTATTTATTATAATTTGTWAATTTAAGTGTAAACCGCCTGGTTTAGAGAAATATTTTAAATGTTACAAATGATTTAAATCGAAAGCAAGACAATTTTGTTTAAATAAGTATAATGACTTTCACGGTTATTTAACAAGTGAATATTATTGCTATCATAAAATAAAATACATTTTAGATTGAATACGGTCACGAAGGTACTGTATTATTAATTTCAGAATGATTTTATTCTTTTCTCTGATTCACCTGCCTATTTATCTGTAAACTACTAAACTATAGATACATATCAATAACAGTATTTGCGTCATTTATAATTTAAAATTGTGCCGTGAAGAAGTACTATACAATATATATTTATGTTCAAAAATCAATCTCGAATCTTAAATAACTTTCTCACTTCCCGCTCCGAGTTCAAACCAGTGTGAAGTGTATTTGCCAGTTTTATCGATATCATAACATCATACATTCTGTTTAATTTTGATGCAATACCTACATAATACATAAAAGATACGWTGTTGTAAGTTATTAATTTAAAAAATATTAAAACGCTGAAACGAGTTTAAACAAATTTTAAATGCACTCACAGGTGGTTATTGTTTTAACAACTTGCAACTTGGTCACACAAGTAATAAAAAACAAATGAATACGTTTTGTGAAACTAATGTTTAGTAATAAGACTTAAAATTTAAGTTACAAATTTTGGTTTCTACGTCGCACAGAATAAATGACATTAGATTMTTTTATATATATCATGTTTGTATTATGTAAAAACTAGTAATAGGCATATTATATTTTAATTTCAAAATGCAATTATTCGTTTAATTATTATAAATTCATTTTCCTGTTATAGGACCATCGGTCTGGCCAAAATTCTTTCCTCAAGCTGGTGGTTTATTACAATCACCAGTTAACATTGAAACTTCGAAATCTACCAACGACATGACCCTAAACTGTAAACCTTTGTACTGGAACTACTGCCCTGAAATGTGCACAAAAATTATCAACACCGGATATGGTTGGAAAGTGGATGCTACTGGCGGTGAAGGATCAGGTATTTTTCAATAGTCATATTATTATAGTCCTATATTTTTACCACATTGAAAATATAGTTTTTWAAAAAAAAGACAATAATAGATTTCGCTGCGTAATGCTTGTATACTAAAATTATTAGCAATTCACGTTTGTTCAATAACTGTAATTTGTAATTTTTTTTCAATAACAATATAATATATTAGTTAGATAATATTAMAAATTACAATACCGCCTTTATTAATAAAACTTAATCGTCCAACTCGCAGATGAGAAATTTAATGTAATTGAAAGGCGTGTATTGTAAGGTAAATTGTATGCTACGGAAGATTATCAAACATTGAAAGAACCAATTACTTATTCAATTAGTTCGATAAATGTTAAGTTTGTTATAATATCAAAATGTTGTATTATGAAATATAATAGTTACACCTTGAATTTAGAATGAACAATTCTTGAGGTTGAGTTTTCTCACGAAAATGCTTTACTTTTTTAGAACTCTCAGGTGGTCCACTGGGACATAAGTACAAATTGGAACAGTTTCATTGTCATTGGGGATGTAGTAGTTCCAAGGGATCAGAACACACCGTAGATGGAATTCCGTATGCTGGCGAGGTAAGTGTATTTCAAGATTTATAGAATTTTATTTTTAAATGTTAATCCATATCGCATTTAAGACAACAATAATATTGTMACTCATGGATATTACATTTATGAATACAATAAAAATATTCCAGACCTATTCTGTGCTCAAACGACCCTGTACCGTCATGAATGATGATGAGCRAATTACTTTCCTTACCTTCTCAATAGATTCCCCGTTATGGGCCTCTGCCTGTTCTCTTTAGAGTTTTATTGTTGTTCATTTGTTATGGGAAAAAAACCATTGTTTTTGTTCGTGTGTTTATTTTCATTAGTCATTTGCTATGATTGCTTTATTGTCTACTTATTTATTGATGGTTATATTATTTGATATTTTTCTATTGATAATATTCCTTGGTGCGTTGTCGTTTACATATTGGTGATGCAATAATTTCGCGGCATGAGATCAAATTCAATCGTTGGTAGATGAAATTTCATTATTCAACTCAACATTTTTACTTAAAATCTAAATTTATAAGATGCTGTCAGTTGAACGTATTAATTCATGAAATTTAAATGTTTCAGTTACACTTGGTCCACTGGAATTGTGATAAGTACAATTCGTTTGCCGAAGCCATTGCACATCCAGATGGTTTGGCAGTACTCGGAGTGTTCTTACAGGTATTTAATTAACAACACGACGTGATATTTAGGTACTTAATTGAGAATTTCCTCAAAAGTTATGCATGGTTTAAGGGTGAAATTGGTTAAGTATAATATGTAGGACTAGTCCACTCTCGGCTCTATTATAATAACAAAAACATTACGTGTCTTACGATTTCTATTGGTTTCTGTACTTTGTTTATTCCAATTTATAGTTATGGTGCCGAGTCTGGGGCTGATCTAACATAATATTTGTAAATACATGACATGGTAGTATTTAGAGACTTGTTATTGTTTATTATTTTTTTTAATGTTTACTAGCATTGATTAGATACATTGAAACGGATCAACTTCAGCCACCAATGTATAGGATTAATCTGTCGATTAGTCTTTAAAACACTTGTACCTGTCTAGTTATAGATCGGTCCAAGTCGGGGAAATTAGAAATTTTTAACGGGTCCTCCAAATAGAATACCGTGCAAACTTCTGATGATTGAGTCTATTTATGACTCCGCGTGAGTACCTCACAGTATATCTTGTCTTTCAAAGAAGACTGATACATTGAGTGTTATCGAATCTGGGACATAAATCCCTTCTTATATAGTTTTGGATTATTATTGTTAAATTATTATAATTTATAATATTTTAATGATGCGCCATTTATAGTAATATATAGTATTAATAATCATGTCAATTTGTGGTTGTATTGAATTTTTTTAGGCTGGAACTGAATCTCACGATGAATTGGAGAAAATTGTTTCATTGATTCCACAGGTTGCCTTACGAAATCAAACTGCTGAAATAACCAATTCCATCGATCCGACAAATTTGCTGCCTGGTAATTAATGATTTTCTCTTAACTACTATTAATAACTATTAACTATCCATAAAACACACATACCTATGTATATATTACACATTTTGATGATCATGGTAATTATTGTTTGAAAAATAAACCATATACTCACGAACAGTATTCACCCAGGTACCTACACATACACATGAACACAATGCCAATATGCTTTTGCATAATATTGTTTGCATACTTCACTTTCAGAGGACGTAACTTACTGGACATATCATGGTTCACTGACAACTCCACCGTGTTCGGAATGCGTCACATGGATCATGTTCAAGAGCCCCTTAGAAGTCTCCGAGAAACAAGTAATTACATTAAATATAATATACATTACATTATCACTGGGTAATAGACAATAGTAAATAATTATAAGGTGTCATAATCATAGAAGCATCATAACTCATATAAAAGTTGTAGCTGCCGCTGTTAGTTTTATTTAGTTGTCTCGGTCTTATTATATTTCCCTCCAGTCAATCACTTCTATCCTCACCATTTCTTGCCGCGTTACATCCATCAATATTGATGGTATGTTAAATTAATTATTAGCGTTCATTGATAGTATTGTGATAGCCCTAGTCGTAATATTTTATAAGCTATTTTCATGCCTTTGCTTTACTATTAATGTGTGATAATAGATTTAATAGGATAATTGATTAGATGTAATATATTCGCTTCAGATTTTTAAGTAGAATTGAAGTGACCTACACGTCTTGAGTTTATCATAAACATATTAATGTATCAAGCTTTTATGATAGTAGAAAAAATTAGTTAGGCTGTAGGTACAGTAATTATTTTTTTACTCTGTACCTTTTATATTTTATCTTGCATCTTAAATAAGGTTAATTTTATATGCGTTGATCTATCGGAGTGGTGTTTATATTATTATTTGTCTTAATTTTAGGATTTATCTCATCAAAAATGATTTTTAACATCCCTTAAAACTTTTAATACCGGTGAAGATATAAATTTTTATGCAGAAAAATATTTTTTAAATTAAAACTTTACTTTTTTCATGATGACTACAAAAAATAGGGTCATGCCCTAAAATTATATTGTTAATTGATTAATATTTTTAATAACCATTATAATTTTTTTTAATTTAATTYAAATTCCATGCAAATTAATTGATAAACTTACCTAGTCACTCAGATGTTAAAATGGAAAACGATCATCTACCGTTTTAAAAATTATTCTTTATGGAGCTGTTTGTGTACTTATTATAATTTAATTTGTCATTTTTTGATTGCTTGTGTAAAATATATAACGTATAATCATCTRAAATAATTTTTTCTAATTTAATATGCCAATTGATTCCTAAATTATTATAAGTTATTGTAAAAAAAAAAAATGACATAATATATATATATGTAAATTGTACAATATATACATGCGTGTTTATATATGTGCGCGCGCGTTTGTATTCTGTATTATGAATTATCATGATTAATGAGAATGCATGAATAAATAATATGAAGACAGGAATAATCATGCCATTTTAATCTTTGTTAAAAAAAAAAAACCTAATCTAAAATTTTTATTTTTACAGCAAAATTATTGGTTATGCTTACTATCAAAACAAGTTATAATAATTTTTACCATATAAATTACATTTGCAATGTGCAAGGTTTAAAAATATTAAATAAGCAATATTTATTTAAAAACACACTAATTACACACATATTTATTTAATACATTTATACAATATGTACTWATTCAAAATTAAATTAAATTATAARTATTTACATATATTTTTTTTGTTATTAGTTTTTTATTAAACTTAATTTTTTTATATCTGCCCATTTTTATGAATTGTATAAAGAATGATATGCTTAATTAATTAATTAGTTATAAATTATAATGGTTATAGTAATTATAACTTATAAGTTATGAATAAAATTAATTTAATTGCCTCCTTGTGGAATTATTACTATATACCTATGTTTAAAACATAGTTAATGTCATTTTTTTACTATTGGTATCTAATTACTTTATCTAAATTTTATTTTAATAATTTTATCTTTAAAATTATTTATATCAATATTAATTATTATTTAAACATTCTTATAATAATAAAATTCTGATAAATATCGCATTTAATGATAACATTAAACATTTTATTTTATTACATAACTTAATCCATATTAAATATTGAAATAATATACAATATCGTAATAAACCAGCCATTTAATCTTCTAAATTTTGATAAGTGTAATATATGTGTTATATGTCAGCGCTATATATGATATTCAAAACGTTYCTATGTTTTTAGTCATCAAACTTGAGACAATGTTACAGGAAATTAATTGGCTATGCGTATATAAACAAAAATACATTAATTAAAACCACTTCAACATACATTATTTATATTAAATATTCGCTGATTAGTGAATTATTAAGAAATAACTTGGAATTATTGATTTAATTAGTTTTTATTTGTTGTTGTTTAAATTAATATTTCAATGCGTGAAATGAAACTGAAATGAAGTTGATAAATAAATAAACCAATTTATCATTTATCTAAATCGTAATTTCAGGTTAGGTTAGGGCTAGGTATAGGCGTTTAAAAATTAAACGTGTTATTCATGTCCAATAATCAGCTTTCGATTCATCACGATCACTTCGTGCTTGTGCAACAAATAAATTATATCCCTAAAGCTATTTAGATGAAATCTATTTGTTACGAGTTACGTTTTAGAAATTGAGAGATAAATACATACATTTATTTATAACTCAACACAATTTAGACTCAAACTAAAACGAATTAATATACATTAAGTATGTGAGTATGTCCTAAAATAATTGCTTCTATAGTTTTAATTCAATTAATTCTATACTTTGATCATTGCGTTTAGGTTGCCTAATCTACTACGCCTTCTTATAAAATATAGTTGGTGATTGAAAGGTTAAGAACAGTGTCAGGTACTAGTTGTTAATATACTGCTGTGCCAATTAAGGTCAATTGCAGTGTCGTATGATAAAATATATTTTTGGAAAAATGCTCAATATAGGTTAACATTATAATACCATTCATATAGTAAATTATTTTAAATTTTGTTTTCCTACTGTTTAAAATTCAAAAAAAGATTTATTAAAAATAAATTCATGCTCGAGTTCAAGCAGGTTCTATGTAGAGTGTGTATGTGTGTTTGTGTGTAGGTTGTGTTATTAAGTACTGGTAACTACTGATATCCGATACCTTGTAGTATAATATTATTGCTTTTATGTTATTTATACCTATCATCTACTTATATTTTTTTTTACACTTAACCACTTCATATTTATCAGCCGAACGAGGTCAATAACGTTAGAAATTACATATTGTTAATAGGTACTAATAATAAATAATTAACTAATAGCGAAATGCGCGTACAATAGATAATCGATCAAAATATAACTCAATTGACAATGATGTAGTGCAATTTGTGTTACAAGAACACGTACAAATTAAATTAATTTGAAATAGTAAATTGATAGTATATATAAATATATTCATACAATACATATCGTTTGTCTAGTATATTCACCATATAAACTCTTCGTATCCGTAGTACATATTAGTTTCAGATTGTTTTGTTTAATGTACGATTAAAAAATACTCCAACAATTTTTATTTAAACAGTAACGTAGTATTGGTATATAAAAAATGCAAATATACAATATATTACAAATTAGTGTGTACATATCAACATCTATAACGAATGCATTTATTTACAAAGGAATAAAATAAAATATACATCTGCTTCGATAAAGTTAGTAGCGTCATTGTCAATAGAAAATAAATTAGTATTGCTGATAAAAACCTATTTACTTCATGTTTAAAACAAAGTAGTAGGTATACTCAATTGAAATAAAACTTAATTATTTTTTTTTTTTTTTTAGCGAATTTAAACTATTTTATGGTTGATTACCACATAATGTATTCAATTAAAAAATAATATAAAATTAGCTTTTAATTGGGTTATAATATTGTGCATTGACAGCAATGTGTAATTTAATAGTTAAAAATACAAATGAATATTATGTAGAGATARTAGTGAATAGTGATGACAATTATTGAAGAAAGATAGGACTATACTTAAAAATTATATTTTTTATGGTCTCTCAAATTAAAGATAAAATAACATGTATAATATTTAACCACTTTTACCGCATGTTCAAATATTTACTTGGCAAGTAGGGAATACAAATTTAAAAAAAAGTCGAAAAACTAGCTTTATAATAATAATAATAATAATAATAATAATAATAATAATACACAGAGTATTACAAATCGATGTGAACCTTTTTTTTTTCATTTCATGAGTTATGTTGCTGTTTGTGTCAGCAGTATGGTATATACGTGAATAGAGTCCTAAAGTTCCTTAGAACCAAACAATTCTATCGTTTTAAAGAATTKATCGAGGGTTATGTAACATTTAAACACAAATTATATATCTGTATGCCCTAGACCACATGAAGTATGTAAATATTTTGTATGGCTTGAGACGGTTAAAGGAGTAGCTTATCTCTCCTGAGCTAGTGGGCTCCCCTGTTTACGACTATATAACTGCGACGATGGTGATGAGCTTATTATAATTCTTAGGGAACTTCACCTCGTTTGTGTTTTACTACTAACCTTTATTTCTTAATTATTGATATTTTGATTATTATAGTTGTTTTCGGACTGGATACATTTTTTGTTATCGTGATGGAATGTTCGTTAAAACGTTTTAATCGCATGTAAACCAAAATATTTTGGGAGARGGTGAGACATGTCCTTTTGTATAATATGATTATACCTACAATCTACATATTATTTTGTTATATAATATGATTTGTGTAGGTGAGTAATTGTGAAATCCATCGTTTGTACCTTTTTTGTATACTAGTAGTTCCTGCAATGGCACAATTATTATTACCAAAAATGCATAAATTACACCAACGCTATTTTTGACAAATAAAAATAAATTAAGTTCACTGCCATTTATTGATCAATTAGTTAAATTAGTCATCTAGGTTAATCGCTTAGTCAMTTGGTTTGTTAAAACGATATATTTACAAAAACATTAAGTACAATAATATTCCAAACCAACATATTGAAATAACATTTTCTTATAAAATGTATAACGAAACACATTTTCTTTCTCATTTGAAAGCCAATACTAATTCGTTACTTGCAACATTTTTACTGTTAATGAACTGAGTATATTCTAATAAATAATATGCGTAATATGCGTAATTTGTATTATTTATTATTGTGAAATAATGTCGTTGGMCCATTTGACCAAATAATATGCATACTTCTACATGCTTGCTCTGTATTTGTCATAGTAAAATACATACTTTTCTAATGCTTACAATGTATAGAATTAATATRCAATCAACAACATCCAGAAACTACACAATATTCTAGAACCTTCTACAAAATCAGTCAATATACTTATATCATTTGTATATGCTTATCTCCACCAACTAGTGTAGTATAATAGTTTTAAGCCTTTTGAGAATGATGGCCAATAACATTTTCGTCGGTGCCTTAAAATATATTTAATAACAATTTTGGTGAAGTTTGAATGTATTTTTACAGGTCAAACAGTAGTTAAAAACATTTAATCTGACCTTAAAGTCTGTATAAGTACTYGTTAGCAGAGRGTAGGTGATATCCCGGTTTTGTGCAAGTCCCTAACCCTTGGGACCTCTTTATTTAGACAGTCCACACATTTCCCGGACTTAAACATAAGTTTTTGTCTATTTCTAAACACGCATGTTTCCGTTCGCAGCTGAACGCGTTCCGAAGCATGAGGACATGGACACCCGAAGAGTGTTGCTCTGAAGCGCATGGTGGACCTCCACTGGTGAACAACTACAGGCCACCACTACCACTTGGCAACAGGGTGCTCAGAGAGTGCGGTGCCATGTGAGGTGACCACGTCGGACAAGCAGATTATTATAATTTATATTTATTGTTTAATTATATTATTGGCTGCCATCGCGTTTTAACACGCCCAACCGACGGTCTCAGCAACAAAACCACCGCCACCACAAGCACCACCGCCGGAAAGCTAATGTATACGGAACGATTTATTTCAACAATTTTTCCTTTTTTTTTTTTTACGCGTTTTTAGATATATTATAATATAATAATATGCACAATCAATGAACGTCGTCGTCAATATTTTTATTTTTATTTTTATTATATTGATACTTTGCAACGCGGTTTTATAATTTTATTCTCTTTTAATCATCAATTTATTATAATTAATATATATTTAATTATTATACGCATTATATAACTAACAAATGGGTCCACCTTAACATTTTATTTTTCGTAATCATAATATAACGTTATTGAGTGTTTTTTTTTWAAATTATATTAATTTTTTTCTATCATTCTATAATACGATTTATATTATAAAATTTTATTGTTCTAATAAGATTATGTAATACATGGTACGTATATTTTGAATGAAATTAATTAGTAGTTTTTTAAATATAAATATATACAGAGTTTTGATTTATTTATGTCACGTGGTTTACTTGATTATTTTTTTCATATTAACATCTTTCGAATTTTTTCTATCTTAATAAAAAAATTCAACTACGACAGCAAACAATAAAACGCATTATAGCTAACTCAGCAATTTCAAAGTTCCAACTTGACATTCTTCAAACCCATTGAATAATAATTTTTTAAATAATATAATATAAACCAGTTGGTTAGTAACGTAAATAATAGTAGTTATTATTTACGTTTAAACACTGCTGTTCACTTGACTTGACTTTACACTAAAAATAAAAATAAAAATAAATTATTCAAAAGACTTATTTGTTTTAAAATTAAACATGATCATACAAACTAAATAATTGAAAATTGATATGGTACAATTAATTTTGTACACATCGTTTTTTCCAAACCCAACAATTTAAGTTTATCGACCTAGATTGAAATGACATGTAACAATTGCTTTGTGACTTATTAACCATATCACCATCTACCATAATAATAATACTGTTTATAATCATGTACTCAATAGTTGTGACTGGTATAAATTAGTCTCGGACACTGGTATATGGCTTATTTATTGATTTTTATAATAGAATATTATAATTAATTGAAGTAAAAAATAAATCGTGCTTTTATCGCGAAACCTTGTATATTGACCATGTGCATAGTTACTTCTTTCATACAGAGGCCATACAATGCCTTTGAAATAAACAATGCATATCGTACTTTGCGATCGAACAAAAGTATTTGTCAATGTAGTAAGTATGCTTAAATTATAAAACGACCTTACATGCAGAGACAGTAACAACGTTATCGAATTACATGATCTTTGATTGTAATTTGAGTTTTGTTTTGTTTTTGTTTTTTTTAAAGAAAGATTGAAACCATGATCAATGAAATTATTTTTAAAAATAAAAAGGTCAATATGTACCGATACCTATTTGTAAAAATAAAAGTGACATTAATAAAAATAAAAATAAATCAAAAATGTGAAACCGAGTTATGAAATATGTATTCTGTAGTTCTTTGAAAAATTGAATTATGGAAGATTTTGAACTCATCACCAATTGTATAAATTAAAGAATAATAAAATTCAAAGGAAATAAAAATCAAATTCTTCTGACTAAAATGATAATYAATGTTGACGATTAACATTTTTAAATTTTGAAGCATAGGACTTCCTTTTGAAAACAATAATATTGTGACTCGAATTGAGTTTACGAACTTGATTAAGAGGGTGCAGCACCCATATTATTTGTTGTCTCATTTTTACAAACGCATAACATAGCACATTATTTACGCTGAGCAGTTCACATTTTACTCCGTTAGTTTAAAAATTAGAATGATAGACCTATTATGAAACTTGATGGTAAGAACATTATCTGTGTTTTGTTGGAAGTTTTTTACGATAATTCACTTTTCAAGTGAGTTATGAGCATTTTTATTTTACAACTAATTATATACGTGCATAACTCACTTAAAAACTGAACTATCGTAAAAATACTTCCAAAAAAACACGGATAATGTTCTTACCATGAAGTTTCATTGTAGGTCTATTCACTCTAATTTTTAAATTAACGGAGTAAAACGTGAACTGCTTAGCTTAAATTTTCCATGTTACGCGTWTGTAAGACTGAGACAACAAATACGGGTGTTGTCTCCGTCTTACATGTGCGTAACATTGTAAAAACTGTTTCGCGGGGGAAAGAACCGAGAAAGCTACAGTTATAACTAAGAAATGAAATTTTCACCACATAAAAAGGAGAATTTTGTCTGTGCAATATCGTTTTTATTTGTTCGATATCAGAACTACAAAAAAATTATTCATGCTTAAAAAACACAAAATTAATATATTACAAAACTATAAGAATTTTTTTTGTATAAGTGATATCGAAAAAATAAAAACGATATTGCACAGACAAACTTCTCTTTTTTATGTGGTGAAAATTTAATTTCTTAATTATAACTGTAGCTTTCTCGGTTCTTTCCCCCGCGAAACAGTTTTTGCAATGTTACGCACTTGTAAGATGGAGACAACACATGCGGGTGTAGCGTCCTCTTATCGATTATTTTTCATTACTACCTACGTATTGTACTTTATAAAGTTGTATTAATGCTAAAAAAAGATTTATTTATTTATTTTTAAATCGATGCATTTTAAARTTATAGGTACTCAGTAAATACTTAGGTTATAACAATACAATTAGCGCTATTTATCATTCTAGAACTTAGATATAGTATTTTTCAGAGACACGTGAAATAATAGTAAAAAAATGTTTATAGTTATAATTTAAAATGACACAAGAAGTAAGCGCGTGACTACCGAATAAAATACAAGTTTTTATAAATTCATAAATATTATTTCACAGTATAGCGTAGTACTTAAACCATAAAATTATAATTTTGTGAATTATACATTTTATACATCATGCAAATAATCATAATATATTATATTATTATGTTGT